GTCTACGGCCTCTCCATATAGCTATCTATATGGAGAGGCCGTAGACTATGCGGTTGGGGGATACAAAACTTTGTCTACTTTGATATGAGTCTTCTTCTATCCATCTGTTGTTTGTATACAACTTTGAAGTGTGGCAACTTGAGACGATGCATTTATGTGCTAGATTCTACTCTGATTTCTTCTATCTGAAGATATTGCCTATATGGTATAAGGAAACCTGATGGTGATCACCCCTTTTTTAGATGTTGTTCCTTTGAAGATAAACTTCATAAACTATCATCCGCTTTTATTGAACCCCAGGATATTTAAAAATAACCATGTATCTTAGAGAAAGACGTTAGAACTACATACAGTCTTACCACTTTTCATTGTGACTTGTGACACTCATAGTGTGACGATTGCAGACAATGTGAAAATAGCTCCATATTCTCAACGTTCCTAGTTTCATTGAATTTAGGGGTTTGTGTGGATGTAAAGATTTTTCAAATTGGAGGGACAGTGGAAAACGCGGTAGCACTGGACACCTACTGTTTCATCCTAGCATTGGACTCCTCAGCAGTGCGCACCCACAACTCTCCCAGAGATCGAACCTGTGACATTCAGGTTCCGTGGCCAGCATGTTACCATTGAGTCAGTGAGTCAGAATCCAATGGTCATTGTTGCGTATTTGTCATTATAGCTACCACGTTTGCTCTACTCGTCAACACTTGTCGCTGGAACTTCGAGAATCACCTCTCGAAGCTAGTCACCAGTGAGGCAAACTTAGTTACACTATGGCTCAATGGTAGAGTGGTAGCCACGGAACCTAAAGGTTGAAGGTTCGATCTGTTGGCGGGATCGTGGGCACGTACTCCTGAGGAGTCTCATACTAGGACGAAACCGTGGCTGTCCAGTACTCCCAAGTTTCACATTGTTCCTTCATGTGATATCATTCCATGATGAATACCAACTTGAAAAATTTCTTAGTTTCTTTGACTTTTTTCCATACATATATGCATAGATACTAACTGGTTACAGAAATTTACAATTTTTATGTATAAACTGAATTAATGAACAGGCGTAAACTGTAGATTACTTGTTCTAGTTAAGTATTCTACATTCAATAAAAGTACTTTATTGATAATTTGTAATGTTTTACAGTAGACAACATTCTATTAGTTACATCAGTGATTCATTTACACATTTTTCGAGGATAGAAGTAACATGGATCTCTTTTATTCCAGGGTTTCTTCTTTACAGTTATTATTATTTATTCATTCACATCCTTGTTACTCTCCGTTGTTTTGTTTTGATTGAATTGTTCGACCTCTATTGGTATATAGGCTCCTATGCAAACGCCTCGATATTGATTGAATGTTAATTATGGTAACTTGGTTGGTTTTGGCTAGCAGAAGAGTCCAGGACGCACGCTTCGTCCTACTTTGGACTCATCAGCTGGATGTACCTTAACCCCACTGATGTTCTTCCTACTGACACTCGAACCTCGTATCCACTATGCCACGGAGGAAGGACGGCCGCTTCTTGTACAACGGGTAGTAGTTACTACTATCTATTGACATACCTGTTATTCTCCGTTTCCTTGATATTGCCTAAGTGTTAATAATGGTAATTTGGTTTGTCGAGGCATCCTCATAGGGGCCCATATGCCAATAGAGGTCGAACAATTCGATCCAACAAAACAACGGAGAATGACAAGTATGTCAATAAATAGTAGTAACTAACACCCCTTGTGCAAGAGGCGGCTATCCTACCTCCTTGGTAGAGTGGACAACGTTTTGGCGTTTGAAGCGATGCGTACGAGGTTCGAGTCTCAGTAACAAAAACATCAGTGGGGTCCAGTTGCATCCAGCTGATGAGTCCTAAGTAGGACGAAACGCACATCCTAGATTCTTCTGCTAGCCACAACCAACAAAATTTCTTTTCAGTTGCCTAATTAATGATAAGTATGTTTATTATCGATGATATGTGTGTGTGTGTGTTTTAGAAGGTAAGTGAAAATAAGTAAGATTTAGAGAATTTCGAAACATGCATGGCGTTGATTTCAAAGTTAAGATTGAGTGATAATATGTTGAGCATACTAGTTGATAGTCTTGCATTAAACTGTATAGTTTCGTAGAGATGCCTACTGCCTGTGAGTCGTAAACGCGGATGAATCGGACTCATTCACTTCTGTTATAATTTCAGTCAGTTTAATGTAAGCATTGACCTTGAGTGTGATTGGTCAGGAATATATTTACCTGGTCAATTCACTAACACGACGAGTCACACCATTCTACCCTCTCAGACGTTGAAAACAGGATACAGACTCTGATTTTTACTATCTATATCCTTCTTTCCAATTTAAGTGATACATGAGTGGATTGGGGATCAGTCGAAAGACCGACATGGCTCAGATCGATAGTCAACGACTTCATCCATTGATATCATGTCCTGGCCACCTTGAACCTGTCTCCAGCTTTAACCTACTTCGGTCAACATTATGCGACGAGACGGTCAGTGACTAGGCATGCGTAACACATGTCCAAGTCAGCCATCTCAGTCGATGAAGGTTCATAACCACATCAATTGACATTCCTCTCTTGCCTAAAACTCCACACTTAACTTTTATGTTTCTCACGTGGTGACATCTTGACACACAGCCTATGCTTTAAAGATAACATCAGTCAAACGTTTGCAACCTTTCCATTTCCATATAGTAGAACAGAGCAAACTCTAGAAGGGTACACTTGACCCTTAATAGACAGTCAAATATCGTAGCGATGCGACAGACGGTGTAAGTTGACGAAAACCAATTAAACCTTTTGTATTCATGCATAGATTTTGTCGGCCAGTGACGCATAAGGGTTGATCCAACTTTCTAGACAAATGTTCAAAGCACTCAACCACTACTGATAAGACTGCTGAAGATCTGGAACAAATGGTCTTCTCCAAGTAATGTTGAATACATACCAAAGTGAATTATTTATCCGATGTGCATATGAATCATGAAGGAATTCATATCATCATTTCATGCATACCATGGATGCAGAGAGTGACTGCTTTTATCCGAAATATTCCATGAAGTTTGATTCAGGTAATTACACTAGAACTATAGTAGGTCAATAAAAAGGGTGACGAATAAACATTGAAAAAAACATGTGATGTTCATTGTTTACAAAGAAACAACGAATGCCAACTGAACAATTATCGTCACCATCGAGAGAAATGAAGCCTCCCTACTCTCACAATTCCATCTATAACGTTCAAACGTTAATCCTTTTTTATCCTAATGATCTACCCACTCCTATCATATGTTATTTGTCCTTTGTGTCTTAATTGAACATAAAACTTCAGTTGTACGTCGTCATTGTTCTCTCTTCTCTGTAGTCTTCTTAATCGGACTCCACGACTGCCCACAATCTTTCATCTCTCTCTCACCCAATCTCTTCCATGTGATACTCGCCTCGGACGCTAAACTGATCATTTCCCATTTCGGTACCACTCAGTGGCCTCGCCTGATGCATGATATCCCCAAAACCGTTTCTCAGTGTATACCCAATCCATTTTGGCTTTCTTTTGCCTATTCTTATTATTCTGGCCATCTGATCTCCATTTTCAGTATTGAGTGAGCGTAGGCGGCAGTTGTTGATGAATGTGTGTAGTTTGTTGGAAACACTTTTGGTAAGGCGCCAAGTCTCTCAACCATCACATAGAAGCATTGACTCACTTGCTGAATTAGTGTTGAAATTCTGATCTTGTTCGTCATACTGAGTGCAGTGGAGTAGATCTCCATACTGATCTCCTCAGATCAATGAAGGAAGGCGTGTCTTGTTGTCTTTATGATCCTGACTATCACTTCCTCATCTGTGCCTGTTCCGCAGCCTGTAGTTGAAACGATGTGCATAGGTGGGTAGGTGGGTAGGTGAGAGAGACAATTTCCTTTACATTTCTCCCGTTCATGGTGCTTCTTGTTCTTTGGGTATGTTCATCACCTCTGAACTTCCATATATGATTGGTTTGAATGCAAACAGACAGACAGACATACGGACTGACGGTCGGTCGATCACTTTAAATCCCGACACTTCACAGTAGTATACAAATAACAGGGGGATAATAAAAGAGTTATACTATTAAAAAGGACAAAGTTGTGTGAAAGGATAAACAAAGTGAAGATGTCAAGCAATGAATACCCCCATTAGATTTGTTCATTTGATTTATAACACACAGTACCCATGTTGTACACCTATATTAACAAGTGTTGTATACATGTATATCAGCAAGATGCTGTTTACACCTTCCAACTTGATTCAGATTAGCAGTCAGGGACTTTGCATACTGGTGCCATGTCTTGTTTTCGCTACCCTGAACTCTCATCTAATTTCATTCACACTGAATTGGGTAGTATACTGTACACATATCCAAACTGTCTAAGTCGCTAAAGGTTCATAACCTCATCAATTCACTTGCCTATCTTGTCCAGTACCCTTTGGCTGACGTCGACATTCTTCATATGAGATGATTTCATGAAATCCTGCAGGTAAGTGTTATGTCTTTGTCTTTGATCGAACCCGCGACCTTCAGGTTCCGCGGCCAGCGTGTTGCCATTGAGTCACTGGGTCACAATCCAATGCTCCATATTAACAACTTCTGTTAGCTCACGATATAGCGCAACCGCCATCCAATGTCATCGTTGACTATCTGTCCTCACGACCATCAGGCTTGACTCCACCGGTCACCACCTCTCATTGGAACTTCGGGAATACTCCTCGAAGCTAGTCACCAATGAGCACCAGTTCAATTGAATTTTGAGGCAGTTGTGGAGATTTGCAATATTTTAAGTTGTTATTCGTCGTAGACTGACATCAGCTGGAGGAAGAAAGGAAACCTGGGAGCACTGGACAGCTGTTTCGTCCTAGTATGGGACTCCTCAGCAGTGCGCACCCACGACCCCACACCACCAGCGATCGAACCCGTGACCTTCTTTTGATAAATAATCGAATATCTTCTTATCTTTTTTATAGGTTGGGGAGGTTCAGCTTTTACTGCTGGGAATTATTTCTTCTGGATACCTATTCTAGGCCCATATATTGGTGGATTGATTGGAGCTATACTATACGAGTTAACAGTTGGTATACACTTAGATCATAGACCTGTAACACCATCACCAACAACAGTGAACACATCAGCAACAGGAGATCAAAGATATCAAGATATGGAGACATCAGTAGAAGGTAAAGCTGGTTCACATCTACTCACTAAAGGGTTATAACACAATGGATGTTTCTCATATATATGTGTGTGTGTGTGTGTGCGTCTGTGTTCGGTTTAGTGCATCTTTGCTCGCTTATTAGAAATTGTTGATTTTTTTTATCTTTGCTTTGAATAGAAAAAATTTTTTTCGCACTTTTTATTTCTTTCACCTCCTGACCTCCACCCTGCATAACCCCTAATCCACCTGGTTACCAAGTTAAAAACTCTTTCTAGTTTAAAAAGAAAACCAACTTGTAAACAAATTATTTATTAGATGTTTCCATTGATTTTCATCGAAATGATAAAATAAATGAAAGGGGGATAAAAATTTGATGAGATTATTATTCACTACTGAATTGACTTATTAATAGTCAATGTTCAATGTGTAATATCACATTGTGCCTGAATACCTTACACACTACTTCATTGTTTCGTCTATACTACTCACATATATGTATACCTTGACTTCATGTTTATTCATTTCACATCGATACCATCCGTATAACATATACGCCAAGGTGAACCAACTCCTTCTGTTCAACTTCTATGTCATTACTGTGATCAACACATTTATAGTCTTTGTGTGTGTGTGTGTGTGTGTGTGTGTGTGTGTGTGTGTGTGGATCAAACAAGACCCGGAGACAGATTTCATCCCATTTATTATATTTTCCATGCAAAATACAATTTAAACAATGAAATTATTTTTCTCATTTTATAATGACAGATTAATGATGAATTTTGGCCAGCAGTGGAATGCAACATGCGCATTTCGTCAGCTGGATGTACCTGCCTCCCCTGCTCAATACCTAGTGATGCTGTCCCCAACGGGATTCAGACTCGGGAGCGATCGCTTTAAACGCTAGAGCGTTATCCACTTCTTTTGCGATAGCTATAGTTTTTAGTATCAGGGTTTGTATATGACGAGTCGCAAATAGGACGAAATGTGCATCCTGGATTCTACTGCTAGCCACAATCCATCCTTAGTATAATTAGATTGCTGCCAATATCAAGGCATCCACACAGGAGCTTATAGGCTAATAGAGATCGATCAATTCGGTCCAATCAACGAAGGGCATCATATAAAAAACCCTTCACAGATTATTTCAGATAAGGTTTATATACTACTTATTATCTTCTTGTTAGTAGAATAGCTGCAGTGAAAAGTTAATCTCTTGTCTCTGCTTCGATATGTTATAAAAAAATAGATGGAAATCAGTGGATAGATGAAATAATCTTTGACCAATTATCTTCCTTGAATTAAAACAAAAGTGATTAATTTGAATGAGAAAAAAATAGTCCCATTTTAACAATTTCGATAGTTTAATGAGAAGACAAAGTTTATTGTAACAATGTGAATTATCATCAACTTAGTTGCCTTGACAAAATTGAACAACAGAAAAGAAAAAAACATTTTCACAATATAACATGACCTCATTCGATTGCAAGACTCTTCATCAATTGCAGACAATCTACAACTGAAATGAAGTAGCAGTAGTAGTAGTGTGAGTATTAGTAGTAATAGTGTGAGTAGTAGTCTGAGTAGCAGTAGTAGTAGTAGTAGTAGTAGTAGTAGTAGTGTGAGTAGTAGTAGTAGTGTGAGCGGTAGTAGTAGTACTATGAGTAGTAGCAGTAGTAGTGTGAGTAGTGGTGCGAGTAGTAGTAGTAGTGTGAGTAGCAGTAGTAGTAGTAGTAGTAGTATATGAGTATTAGTAGTAGTAGTGTGAGTAGTAGTAATAGTGTGAGTAGTAGTAGTAATAGTGTGAGTAGTAGTAGTAGTATTGGTAGTAGTGGTAGTAGTAGTTTGAGTGTCACTGGAAGTAGTATTCTGAGTAGTAGTGATCAGTCAGAAGGCAGACGCGACCGAAGGAATGTCAATTATCACCAATTGAAACGCTAGTCGTTGTATATATGGTGCTTCGTTTCCGCTTCTGTTTCTCTCTTGATTTGCTCTTCATACATTCTTATCAGCAGTATCCACTGTAATATGCCTGCGTCGTCCCTTGCGTTTCTGTTGGCAGAATCTTTACCCGTTACTGGTAATTTCCTATGATTCTGGCCACCGTCTCAACATATACTACTTATATCCATTCTTATCAGCAACACCCACTACAGTATAGCTGTGAGACACGGCCGTGGAAAGTAGACAATAGCAAGCGATTACATAGTTTGGATCATAGATGTCGTCGTTTGGTGGAACCACCATGTGAGTAATGCTGAGGTCAGTTACGCGAAGGATACTGGGTAAGACAGGAAAGTCAATTGATAGTGTTATGAACCTTAGTCGACTGTGATGGCTTACGCATGTGTTACGCATGTCGAGCGACGCTAATCACCACGCGAAGACAGGAAGAGAACACCAACCGTTGACGGAGCGCTTTTAACTGTCTCAACAACAGTCAATACAGTTGACAGTGATGCTGAATATATACATTCCTAAATGACCTTGACAACACAATCCACATTTTACTTAAAGGAGTTAACAACCAATGAAATCCAGCATTGAAAGCAGAGGGAAGAAAAATTATAAACAGTGTGAAAAAAACCCAGTGATGATAAGTTTGTCTTAGGATTATAAACAAACGTATGTAAAAATTACAGGTGTATAGGAGTAAGTGTTAATCTTTGATGTGAGGATATTATCATTTGAATCAGTGGGGTCTGGTATCAGTCGCTTCGTGATGAATATCAACTTGGATTTCAATTGACATCCTCATTAACCTCCGAACGCGTCTACCGGACCTCCCTACACTCTGTTGGGCATTTCAACTGTAGAATATAGGTGTGTATGAAGCATCCTTCGCGTTTGATGGAATCACCGTGTGCATAATGTTGAGGCCAGTCAGGCGAATGGTATTGGGCAAGACAAGAAAGTCAATTAATAGTGTTATGAACCTTAGTCGACTGAGATGGCTTAGACATGTGTTACACATGTCTAGCCACCGCTTACCTGGACGTAATTCGACTAGGTTTGAAGACGGTTCAGGGTGGCCAGACCGAGAGCTGGTACCAGTTGATCAAGTCTCTGACTATTGATTTGACCCCAAATGGGAGGATGTAGAATCCTTGGTAGAGGTGTCTGAGACGGTAGAAACCATTGGTTGGGGACTTTTTATGACATCCCTTAAAATCAGTCACAATAGCGCAGTTATATTCACTCCTCTATACCCACTACAGCTTGAATATCTCCACTATCACACGACTTTGTCTACTTTGATACCACTACTTTTCTATCCACCTATTCTTTGTATAGTACTGCGAAGTGTGGTAAATTGAACTGATGTGCTTTCGTGAGAGATAATTACCTTTATTTTGTCAGTCAGTCACATTGTGCAACTTCCTAGTTGATTTGTGATTCGACATCTAAGTGAAGAAGTTATAGTAGACAAGTAAGGACATGTATTCAAACAGAATAACCTATGTAACATTCAAAAGAGAACATATCTGAACATGTACATAGTTGGGTGTTTAAATATACTAATACTGTTTCAACTACAGGCGGCTCAGACGAGGATGTCAAAGTCAGAATCGGAAAAGCAAGATAGGCGTTCATCAATCTGAAACCAGTGTGGAGATCTTCTTCACTCAGCATGTGGAACAAGATGCGGATTTTCAACACCAACGTCAAATCAGTGCTTCAGTATGGCTCAGAGACTTGGCGCGTTACGAAAGGGATTTCCAACAAACTACACATTATTATTATTATTATTATTATTATTATTATTATTATTATTATTATTATTAGTCCCTTGGGTTCCTAGTGGAACATAGGGCTTCAGTAGCACGTCTCCAGTGACCTCTGTTCTCTGAGATCTTTTGAACCTGGTTCCACAACAGCCCACAACCTCTCATTTCTTCCTCGCACGACCTCCTCCATGTCACCCTCACCCCAGACGTCCAACTCGTCGCTTCCCATGGGGATTCCACTCGAGACACTGGCCTAGCCTGACGCGTGATGTCCCCAGTCGGCCTTTTCAGTGTATGCCAAATCCATCTCCACTTCCTCCCACTGCATATTTGTTGCGTGATAGGTTCTTGCTTCGTTGGTTCGTTCCCAGCCAGAGTTCCATGTTGCTTATTCTCATTATTCTGGCAATCCATCTGATCTTCAGTAGCGAGCCAGCGTAAGCAGTTGTTGATGAATGTGTGTAGTTTATTGGAAATCCCTTTCGTGACGCGCCAAGTCTCTCAACCATCACACAGAAGCACTGACTTGACTGAATTGGTGTTGAAAATCCGGATGTTGTTCCACATGCTGAGTGCAGTGCAGAAGATCTCCACACTGGTTTCGGGTTAATGAACACCTCTCTTGCTTTTCCGATTCTGACTTTGACTTCCTCGTCTGTCCCGGTACCACCTGTAGTTGAAACAGTGCTTCCTAGATAAGTGAAGGAGGTTACTTCCTTCAAGTTTCTCCCGTTGACGGTGATTGGAGTTTGTTGTTGTTGTTGATGGTGGTGGTGCGGTATCTTCATCACTTCTGTCTTCTCTATATTCACTTGAAGTCCCGTCTTCGCTGCCTCTTCTATCAACTTGTTAGTTTTTGCCTGTAGATCTTCAAGTTTATGTGACATTAGGCACAAGTCATCATCGGCGAAATCCAAGTCTTCTAGGTTCTTTTCCGTCGTCCAGTGTATCCCCCTCTTCTCGCTGCCTACTGTTTGCTGCATGATCCAGTCCACCACAATCAGGAATATCATGGGGGATAGTAGGCAACCTTGTTTCACTCCTGTCTTCACTTCAAAAGCATCACTGAGCTTCCCATTGTGAATTACTTGGCATGTGGCATCTTCATATAGTTGTTGAATGAGGCGGATAAAGGTTTGCGGTACTCCGTAGTATTGAAGCAGTTTCCAAATTACTTCTCGGTCGACGCTGTCAAAGGCCTTCTCAAAGTCGATGAAGTTGAGGTAGAGAGCTGATTGCCATTCTATGCTCTGTTCTATGATGATGCGAAGCGTTGCAATTTGGTCTGCACATGATTTGTACTTCCTGAAGCCTGCCTGTTCCGGTCGTAGTTTTGAATCCAGTGCGTCTTTAAGCCTCTCCAGGATGATGCGGCTTAATATTTTACTTGGGGTGGACAGGAGAGTGATTCCGCGCCAGTTCTTGCAAGCACTGAGGTCTCCCTTCTTCGGCAGTTTGACAAGGTAACCCTTCTTCCAATCGTCAGGTACCTTCTCTTCCTTCCACACCTTCTGCAATAGTGGTGTGGGCATGTCCGCTGTTGTCTCTGCATCTGTTCTCAGTGCTTCTGGCGGTATTCCATCTGGTCCTGCTGCTTTCCCGCATTTCAGTAGCTTTATGGCGTTCAGGACTTCCATTTTCGTTGGGGGATTTATGTTCACTTGTAATTCAGCGGCTGTAGGTGGTATTTCTGGACGAAGTGCAGGTGGTGGTGGTGGTGGTCGATTCAAGAGCTTCTTGAAGTGGTCGGCCCATCGTTTCCTCTGTTTCTCTTCTTTTGTAATTAAATTTCCTTCATCATCTTTTATTGGTTTCATCTGTGTTGGTCTCTTCCCTGATAGCAACCTGGTTATTTGATACAATGTCGTCAGGTCTCTATCTCTCCTACCTGCAGCCTGTTCTGCTTCACTTGCCAGTGTTTCGTAGAAGTGTCTTTTGTCTTTGCGTGCACTCTTCTTCACTTCTTTGTCCAGTGTTTTATACATTGTGCTCAGTTCCTCTTGTCGTTGAG